TGGTAGATGTTGCAAGATTGCAAAAGCCCTCACTAATCCTAAATTTTAATTATTTGAGATCATAATCCACAAAAACTCTCATAATTGCCAATTTAACCATTTAATTAATATCAAATTTCACAAACATATTCAAGACAAACACAATGATAGATTAATAAAATATCACCTATTAATATACTACAATATTTAAAAAAATCCTCAAAATTATGAACTTCTTTTATTTTTCACAATCCAAACCTATTAAATACATCTCTTGCTTTGAAAAGCCCTCAAAACCTTAATAAGACTTCAAATCTCATAAAATGAACTCTTAAAAATCCTCTCATAATTCTACTTTCAAATGTTGCTTTCTAATTAATAAAATTATTTTATAATTTTGCTCTCAAATCTTATTCTTTGATCAACTAAAGAACCTCACAAATGCTGTAGGTACGTGATTTTATATCTTGAGGTCTAATTTCGACCTTAGTTCACAACCAATTCTCTTCAAGTATTAATTCTTTGTATTTTGAGGTAATTTTTGCTAAAATATATTCTTAATTTCTTTCTTAAAATATCTATATTAATTATTTATCTCATTTATTTTTATTTGGCTTATTTATATTCCTATAAAGTAAATAGAATTTTCTTTTATAAGAAGATGGTATTAGCACTTATTAATTTTTACTACCTTTTTATCTATTATTTATATTTCTAAGATAATTTATTAAAATATTTTCATTTAAGCTCTTCTATAATAAAATATTTTATTTCTTCTTTCACCTAATGGCTATGTTACTATAGAATAACATGAATGTAGGCTTTACAAACTTATATCCTTAAATAAGTTGGATTTGGATTACTTTAATACAAACCTTTAAATGGTGTCATATTTAGCAATGCATAAGTTGGATATTAATTAAAAATATATGTTGAAGCATAAAAAATTTCGGATAAAAAAATACATATATATTAATATTAACATAGTTTTATCTAATTTAAAAAGTGACAAATTTTTATTTTTTGCTATACTTTTTTATGTATACTAGATAAGATAATAAGTTATCTTTGAATATTGTAACTAGCATAAATAAAAAAAATTAAATTAAAAATAAAAAAATATCTTGAATGATATTTTTATCCTTAGTTTATTTAAAAAGAATCAATTTTTAGTAAGAACTTGGTTTCTATTAAAGTTTTAAACTATTAAAGAAAAATAAGAACTTGGCTTGTAGTCTGCAAGAAAATCTAAGTATAAGAAAAAAAAAGTCATCAATAAACATTAGTATGTATTTGTCCTTAAACAAAGATTGAAGAGGCATGCAAAGATCATTAAGAATAAGCTCAAGTGGACATGTTATAGTCTAAGAATATTTGGAAATTCTTTTACAATGGTTTTTTTTAATAATACAAGTTATGCATTGATACTTCATTGGATATAACCAAGGAACTCCAATGACCATATTTTCAACAATCATATAATATGTTGATTGGGAATTAAGATGTGTAAGCCGCTTATGCCATATGTCATTGAAGTCGTGATTCTTATGACTAATTTCACTCAACTTAGGCAATTAAGTTAGACATTAAAGGTACAATCTATAGAAGTAAGATATTACATTCTTGAGTTGTGTAGACTTGTTTGATTATAGAATAGCTTAACCTCTTTGTGAAGGTTTTAATCTAAATAATTTATATTTTAAATTACATTTTGCCCAAAGATATCTTTGGAAGACATTATCTTTATAAAAAATAAAGTAAGATTTGGAGTCAAATATAATATTATACCCATTGTCAATGAGTCTTCCAATAGATAGTGGATTTTGGTGAAGTCCTAGCATGTACAGAACAAATTTCACAGCTTTATTTTCCAAAATAGCAATGCTCTTTCTGGCAATTGACATAACAAATCCACTTGCAATAGTAACTTCAAGTCCAAGACTTGAGGTGTTAGGTTTGAAGCTGCTGAAAAGATCACAATTTTCTGTGACGTAACTTGTTGCAGCTAAGTCAACATATCATTCACATTGTAGCTCAGTGACATTAGCCTCATGCTGGTCGGTCTCAGCTTTGTACTCCCCATATTGAGGCAAATAATCTTTGTATTCTTTAACGATGTGGATTTGAGTCTTGAGGCCAGCCTTATTGCAGTGATTATAGTTGTTGGTATTGACTATATTTGCCCCAACCGTGAGAAGAGTAATGAGTTGTATGAGCATAACTCCCATAAAACCCACGACCGTGTCCACGTTCAGGTGAGTTGAAAAATTGTCATCTGGTCCAAAGTGCTTCTTCAAGGACCTAGTCTTGTTTGCCTTTTTTCTAATATTTCTCAATTTGCATGAGCTCAAAAAGCTAAGTGTATATTAGAACAAGCTTTATGGCAAGGTTAGAACCGAAGTTGAACAAAAATAGTCCCCAACTTAGAAGAAGTCCATCTAGAATGATATGTATCAATTTAATCCCCTCCACTTCAACATTGATGCTTGCAAGTTTGTTGGTCAGATTTTCAATGCTTTTCAGGTAGTCTTTGAAGTTCGTTCCTTCAATCATGTTGATGGCTTGTATTTGCTTTTCTAGTCGAGGTCGGTGGCCGTAGAAAATCATCATTGTATCGTTGCTTAACAAGATTCCAACATGCCACTAGATTATTGGTGAATCAACCAACAGTGGGTCTAAACTTGTCTTTGACTGTGGCCATCAGCATTGGCTTTGCTTGCATACATAGACTCCTTTTCTGTCGTTTAGTGAGGTGGTTTATTGTCAGCATTGGTATTGTCGTCAGCAACTTCATTATTGACATTGTTTCCTATCTCAGGCTCAATTGGACATCGGTCCTCAAACTCCAGTTTATCCCAAACATGTCTCGCTCGAGAAGGGTTTGAACAAGGAGTGCCTAGGAAACGTAGTTCTGTGAGACATCAAGCTTGATCTGCCAAAAGACTTCTAAGCAGGAAGTAGAGACTAGACTCTACTACACAAACTAAAGTGACTTCAGATATTTGATCATTTGAGAAGAGCAAAAGAGCCGTCTCTTTAATACTATGTTGCAAAAAAGCTCTGGTGACACAGTCTTTACTAAGGTAAACAATATACAAGCGGAGATGCCAATTTAACATGAAAAAGGAACTGCGGAAATGTAGGTGTCCACGGTAGATCTAACGGAATAATGTGGCTATTCTAAATCAAAAGATCAGCATTCACTAATCTACTTATCTAAAGAGGTGAGTATAGTCCCTTGAATTGCTACTATCAGAGAACACTTGCGAGCCACAAATGTGCTGTCAGATTACACCTTACCTGTCTGAGCAGGTAATTTTCCAACACCCGCTTGATGATCTTGAGCAGTTTCAACTTGACAATATCCCTCCATCATGTCCTGTTTGTGAAGAGTTACTTCTTGTGGCAATTGAGAAACACTATCGTGACAAGTATATGAACTATTAGACTACTCTGATTTTCCACACCATAAGAGGAGCTGACGTCCTCCATCCTGGTATCTTCCGACAGTTGCAGCTAGACAAATTATCTCCAAGATGACTACACTCGTTCAGCATACCACAAGCCTTTTCAGAAGCAGAAAATACACAAGAATTGCAGTACATAATATTACCACCGAGAGCGGCCACCTTAACAAATGAGGGATACGTAAGCGCGCCTGCAGGAGGAGGCATCTAAAGACAATTAGTGAGGGCATCGGATGGAGGCTTGGGAGAGAGCACCACATTTACGCAAGTGTTTGACCATTTGAGTTAATGTTTGGCCATTTGAGTTTCTTCGCTTTCAAGTGTCGCCAGATGCGGACATATTTCAATGTTCAGAGCCACCAATCTCATCTGCAACATAACATATCACCGAGCGTAAGTGACACATGTTCCAGTTGTGTCTTTTTCAATATGGATTTAGGAAGTTTGGGGATAAAGGAGCTTGATCATTTGATTAGAAACGGCTCTCTTAGTTTTTGCAGTGGTTCAAATTGTGGGGCAGATTAGAAGGGCCTGAGGTATTTTGTCCAATCCTACTTGAGGTTAGATGCAATCCGTATGGACGACACAGCAAAACATTAGCCCGTAGGCTTACGTTGCCACGGTTCGAGGAAGATGCAAAAAGATGAAAGAAGTTGTTGTTTTCCATAGCAATACGCTACCATGGGACAGTCAAGCTTGAAAGTGTGCAAAAGCTACTTCTCGATTCACTTGGAGCATGTACTCGGTGCAGCGATTCTGTAGGCAAGAGTCGAGGCATGTGGTTATCAACTTTGAATGCCCTGGAAAATGTTGCGACGCAGGTGTTGGAGAGCGAATGAGCTTCCGGATGTGGTGAGGAGCTGTGCAAAGAGTTTCGTGAACAATTTTGCCCTTCTGCCGGCTCGGTATACGTTGTGCTAATCGGAACAACCACATGGGGATGTTCTGCGTCCTGTAGCAGTTACTGTGTTCGAATGGAGCTATTTCAGTAAACGCGAGAGGCACAATATGCCACCAGCTGCTGCAGTTATGGTGACTCAACCGCCTCAATCTACCAGATCTAGTCCAGCGGCGGAGGAGGTAAAGATACAGAAGAAAGAGGCCTGCAGTATTAGGCTGGTGAGAGAAAAGACACGCACATCATCGGTGGTTGTTCCGATTAGCATATTGCAGTTTCAAGACGTTCTTGACCATCGGATGGGTGGTGTACATATCTTGTCAGCAATTAAAATTTCCTGTGACTTGGCGCGAGGTTGTGCACGAGTTTTGAGTAATCGATTTAGTGGATTCCTCTCTGTGCATGCGATCTTTGAGCTTGGTGATGTTGAAGCACAGTTTGAGGTGTTGTGCTGGATTACATCTCCAGCGATGTGCTTTATTAGCTTCTTTGTTACTAATGTTTTTTATGTCGTTTTTTTTATTTTTTTTTATTTTTTTTTGTTTAATATACCTTCCGGCTTTATTAGTGTCTAGCTTGTTGAAAACTTTGAAATAGTGATATATTGTTGGTGTAGCACTGGATGTCCACGCAATAAAAAAGAATGACACAATAAATTAAAAAAGTGTCCAGACAATAAAAGGGGGTGTTTACCAAATGGTTCCCAAAATATATTACATTGTCTTGTAGTATAGAGCCAGAAAATAAGCCCAAAATCATTTGCAAATCAGGAATTCTGAACCTGGATGGAGAAGCTGGTTGCCTTTGTGAATAGTACCTGGTCGTGGTCGTGATCAAGTTTGGAGCAGTCGTGCATTTGGTAAGGGTCCATACTGTAACCACCTCCTAACAACATTCTATTGGCATCATGTGGCCGTGGAAACAGTAGTTTCAAACGGTAGGCATCAAACCCGTTGAGATAGTATCTGTGGAGCCGCTTGGCGCGGATGAAGCCAAGGTTGCCATACAAAGCAAGAGCACCTAGGTTTGTCACCTCAGCTTCCAAGGTCACCTGAAAGACAAAAATCAACTAAGATCGCCTTGACAAGCAGAACATTGTAGAAAAGGAATCACAAATTTAAGGTGCGCTTAGCTTGGATGAAAGTGGGACATATTCTGCACAAAAGGGGGAATAATAAACATCTACAGTTCTACTTGTACTTCTTGCGAAATTGTTTAGTTGTACGTGAATGAGATTCGAAAAGTACCTCGTCACATCCGGCGTCGCGCATGACTTGAATGCAGCGAGTCACCAATTCTGTGGCTGCAGAGCCCGCTTAATGCATAAGAACATCCACAAATGACACAAAAATGGGGGCAGCTGTTCAAACACTACTTGACACTGGAACACCACCTACTTGCTGTATAAGACAAGAAGATTATCGATGACATTTCAAAATTGAACTGCAGGGCCACTTGCATGAAGGGTGTTATGGCTTCCAATCGGCACCTCGTGTGAGTGTGTACATACACACAAGGAAATGCCAAGCAAAAACGTGCTGATTGTTAGCTGTTGAGAAATTATGCTGATCTGCTTACCAATACCCTTTCCTCGGTGTTGTTTAACAACAACAAGCATGGCAATATATCCACGGAAGGTGTTTCGATGCTGCCCCATCTTGCAGACAAGCGTACCGATGCACTTTCCTTCATGAAAAGCCTGCATTATGAGTGATTGAGATGAGCGGATGTATAAGACACGTTGGTTGCAGACCCTAAAGGGTGTTATTGGTCAAGGAGGAAGAAAAAAATCACGGGAAGCTGGATAGAATTTCATTTACAATTAGCTCTTCAAAATAATTGAAAATAGACCAAGCAACCGATACAACTGCTGCCTATTCATAATACGCGAGATAGCATATCAAACACTAAGATGTGGATGGGTCATCATGCACTAGAATCCTCATGGTTAATATTAAACAAACAGAGGACAAAGCAACCTTGTGCTAACTGAAGTGTTGACGGAATCCAACCAGCATGACGGCCCCAATTTGTTCGTTGTTCTGCAGTGACAGGGAACAAGCATTTGAAGATTACCTGATTCTGTACAAGTCCTAGAATGTGAAGAAATTATGGCTTCCACCGGAAAATAAGTTCATGCACGTCGTAATGAACGTAATTGAATAGGCACGATACCAAAAGATGTCACTCAACATATGATTCGCAGAAAACACAAATTAATTGTAATGAATTCTTGAAGATACAGCAACTTGCTAAAGCTGTAGAAAGCATTACGAGCCATGCGATTGAGAAAACATAACTCAACGGTAAATGAAACACAGCCGGGAACGAAGATGCGACCAGGACCTCCTTTAACTGAATTGCTCTAAAGCCATCATCCACCCAACTCCTGGAACTCAATTAGGAGGATAACGAATAGAGGTTTGTTCCAACATTTATCGCCCATATCCATGATCGTGGCGGTGGGTGCAAACATTACTGATTTAATTAACAGAGCACTTGGATCATCGACGACAATACTACCCTCCCTCGTCAGAATTCACGCACGCAAGCAGTTTCGTGTAGTAGCTTAGCCTTAGGTCGAATTTCCCCATGTGCATTCAAGAATTCTCAGCAAGTTTGAGCTTGTGCAAATAGCTTACCATGAAACAGAGGTCAGGCCAGAGAGTGATGAAATAGCGGTAGGTGAAGATGGAGTAGGGCTCTGACAACTCCTGGTCAATCAGTGCCATGATGTCCGGCAGCTGCGTCTCATCTTTGTAAGAAACATACTCAATACGGCCACTACCCGCACCGTCACTAGTCTTCGAGTCTTCCTCCTCAACCCTCCCGATATCTGCTTCTTTTGCTGAGCCATCCGCTTCCCTTCTCTCAGTCTCTGCCATAGTGTTCCAATTCTCCTAACGCCACACTAATGGATGCCTTACGGTCCCTTTACTCCCGCGTACACAGATGCTTATCCCAAGATTCTCAGTCAGAATCAAAAACAATAAACATTCGCATTATTTTACGCTGTATTGCTCTCACCCTGTCACGATAATAGAATCTTCCCTATTCCCCGCGCACTCGCAACAAAAACGAACATGGATCGAAAAACGATAGCTCACTCCGTTACTCGCAAAGCCCTAATAATGCTGCTTTCGCTACGGAAACAATCATTTCTCAATTGAACTGCCAAAGCTTCTACGTGGGGCCAAGCGCTGCGAGTGTTCAAAACAGAGCTTTAAATTAGGACTTTAGATTGACTTCAATTCCAACATCCTAAGATCCTTCACCAAATTTAGAGTATACCAATCAAAGATTTAAGCCCATGTCATATCATGGTCAAATTACTGGTTTCCTGAGCCACAACGCTCTATTATTTTTTTCCTTATGGACTTCGTCAATGAATTAGACACCGGCCAAGACACTTAGTGTCCAGAAATTATGAACACGAATTGGGAACACCATCTAAATTCTTCACTTAACATTTGATCCAATTATACACATGTGCACGAACTTGTGCACACATCATGGTAGTTTAAGTGATAAATACTCAGACATAGACAAGTTTTTGGTTTCCAAGCCACTCCAATTCATGACAAATGTCAAACAAATATCGTTCACAGGACTGCTGGGGGTTTTAGCTTGAAAACTGATTCAACTAGGTCTGTGACGTGCCATTCGCAATAGAGTAAAGTGCTGATTTCAGGATATGTCATAAGTCGAACACGCAATAGTTTTCCAAGTAAATATTTACAGCAGTAAAAGAATATAACATGCGAAAAGACTTCAGCGTCCATGCAAGTGATTTCCAGGAATCCAAAGAGAGTCGGTACTCTTACAAACGCTGGTCTCAGCCTAGTTGAATACTGGACAAACAGCGGCTAAAATACAGGTCTCGAAAATACCTAGAAGTAATCTAGATTCGTGCTAGGCATGCTCCTGGTGTGTGTCACTAATTGAATGATGTACAAATGTTGATGAACAATGGCAGTTCATGTACACTTCTGAGCCGCATCTAACAAGTACAACGATGTGCACTAAAAAATATGTGATTACCTACATGTAGAATCTTGACCTAAGACAATATAATAGAATTGAAATTGATGAGAATCAAAAGACCGAACTACAGAAAGATTTCACGAAGGGTACGGGCTGCAACCCGGGATGTGAGTCGGTTCAGGAGGTCAGGTAGAATATTTCTTGCAACATCTGGAAGCACTGGCAGCAAATCTCTCAACACTTCTTGAAGGTTCACGTCTCCCTACAATCCCCAATTGCACAGAAATCATAAATAATTAGTAAATTGCACATGGTGTCTTCAAGAAAAGATGTATATAGTAAACTAATTCAATCAGTGTAAAACATAAAGTTCCGAGTCACATCGATCACTACAACTTGGTAACGGATCAGTCTTCTTCACGTAGATCCCCGAAAGAAAGCACAAATGAAGACGACCTAATCAAATGGTTCACTGATATTAAATAAACTAATAAATCAAGTTGCATCCTTTGGCATCCTTAGAAAAACACAGTTCTCGATTAATATTAACCTGAAATATGCTAACATATGGCTTATAATTCTAACAGCCACCCAAATACGTACCTGTTCTGAAATAGACCGAGACGCTGGAGAGCCAGACGAAAGAAATGCTACGACCCGCCGCATGTTGTTGAGCACTACCTCATCTTCCTTCGTGACAGTGGGCACAAGTGAGAGATGTCTCCGAAACCCAGGTAGAGCAAAAGAATTTAGGATAGGGTCAAATCTCTGAAGACCTAAAGTCATCACAATTCTGGCCAGCTCCTCTCGTGTCACTGCATCAATTCCCTTAACAACCTGCAGTAACAAAAGTTTCCACCCATGTATCAGTATCAGCAGCAGTACGTAGTAACGCGGTCCATCGCCAGTTTATTTCGGGAAGGAGAAGATTCAGGAATCTAGATTGTTAGGTAAATTGAAACGGTGTGTTTAACAGACTACTAGAAACTAGAAAACTATCCATGAAAAAATCAAATCGTTATGTTGTATTGCAGACATTTCTTAGATCCAATACAAAACTACTGGAAGTTAAAGGTAACAAAGTTATGCACAGAACTTTGCTGCAGAGAGTGAGGTAGAGTATTGTAAATACCTCATCCAATATGAATTCTCGGAAAAACTCGCCCTGCTCTGAAATCAAGAAGCTCAAAGCAGCCCTAGTCTGCACACCCCCTTGCTGCCCTACTCGAGCCAAAGAACCACCTGCAGCAGGAGATTTGCCAGCAACTGCACCTGAGAATGCAGAACTCCCTTGCATTTCTTCTCCTCCACCACTCTTAGCTGCTACCGTAAACGTTTCAAATGCTTCCATTACGTCAATGAATCTTTCTGCATCGAAGTTTGAATTTCGCCCATATATGGTATAACGCAACGCCTCCCTCAGTCTAGGAGAAGGGTCCGTCAATAACCTCTGCGCATTAAGTCTAATTTTCATTATCCTACTCAAAACTTCAGATAAAAGACCAAAAAATCCCCGTCCCTCCCAAGATCGCAATCAGTGTAAGTAACCTTTAAGTTACAGTGCATAATTACGGCAGTAGCCGCATCACAGACAAACTCTCAGAATGTGCATATAATAGACGCTAAACGCTCAATCTCTTTATTACATCATGTATCATGAGAACGATATGCAATTAAGTTGCTTAGTTCAAAATGACTTACTTGGGCAATATATGGATAAGCCTCATCAACAATAGCGAAGTCTGGATTGCCAACCAAAGCGATTCCTTCGAGTACACCAATTGCACGGATAATAAGTGCAAAGTACGGTGGAATTCGAAAAGGATAATCGAAAGTGATTTGTGCCAGGTCCGCGGCAAGCTCTTGGAAGTTGATATTTTTTGCACCACCACCTTCTAAGGCTTGATCGAACACTTTTGCAAGAACTGGCATGATTGGCGCTAAATTAACGCCTTCAGGAATGAAATCCAGGAGAACAAAATCTTCAACGATGGCCTCATAGTCTCGGTGAATCAAATGAGATATGGCTTCAATCATTCCATACTTCTGGTTATCAGTGATTTGAGTCATAAGGCCTGTGTAGGCAAACAACAGACAAAGGTCATACGGTGTGATCAACCAATTCAGTTCTCTACACAGACACAACATCACTGAAGGTCCAAGAGAAAAACTTCAAGCAAAATGAAAGCGGCAGAATTTACCAAAGTCGAGTATAGCCAGTTTGCCCTCAGGTGTACGAATAAGGTTGCCAGGATGTGGATCCGCATGAAATAGCCCGGTGTCCAGTAGCTTTAACCACAAATTACAAAAGATCAAAATAAGTTAACACGCGGTCCTTGACCAGCAAAAAATGTACAAAGTTTGAACGGACAATGTAAAACAAGTCGTGCAATTTCACGAGTGCAAAAGAAAACATAACTGGCAGCATTGCATCCAAAGTCTTCGCTATGGATCAGAAAAAATGATACATATACCTGTTTCAGGTAGCAGATAACTCCAATGTTCACAAGATCACCAACATCGCTAGCAGTACTTTGTGAGAGTTTCTCTCCTTCTATCCAACTGGTTGTCAAAACCCGTCGTGAAGTGTACTTTGTGAAAGTCTTGGGTACAACGACCTGGCCAACAATAACACAAGAGCGAATGGATAAGAGCTTTTGAGCGAAGAAGCAATTCAGCAACAAACACGCCAACAAATTTGAGTCAACATCAATCTCTTACCTGAGGAAGGTCAACTTTCATTTGCTCAGCAAATCTTGTCCCATTTTCTCCTTCATTGATATAATCCAGCTCTTCAAAAAATCGAGCTGCCCACTCGTCAACAAGCCCTACAATGTCTGTAGCAATCTGCATTCCTACGGCAAAAAATTGCCTTTCACAGTTAATTGTAAGCCAAGAACTCACAACACTGAATGAAACACCTCAAAAGTTAATTTTGCAATACGAGACATACAGTTTCAAGAATACAACTGCTGCAGGCTAATAGATATGATGACCACAAGTCACATGCCTGAGGGAATCTGCGAAGAGCAACACCCAGACGACGGATGATAAAGAGATCAATTGTCACGGTCTCCAAAACATATGGTCGTTGAACTTTCACAGCCACAGTTTCACCTGTCTCGAGAAGTTTTCCCTTATACACTTGACCCAATGAAGCTGGCCAGAATCATAAAAAAAATTCAATATGTTAGATCCTGTCCTAAAAGTGAGACTCAAATGACGTTGTCAGGTACAAAGGCACAATACCAAATCTGTTCAAGGGATTGACGAAAGCCCAGAGATTCGGCTAGGCAACAGTCCGTTAAATTAATCGCACGGTTTTATACAAAAAATTACATATTCTGTAGAGGAACAGTTTAAATGTAAGCAAACTATGAGACAAGAGATACCGTAAGACGTTGTAAGTACCTGCCGCTATTGGGGATTCAGTTAGCTCAGAGTAAACTTCTTGCCAGGGTTTCCCCAACTCAGATTCAATAAGCGCCATGGCTACATCATTCGGAAATGAAGGAACCTGTCAAGTGAAAACAAGAACAGGTTTTCAGAGATTTGATCCTAAAAAACAGTTTAGCAACTTCCGCAATGAGAATAAGCAAGAGTTCGCACCACAAAATGGTTTGTGCAACCTGCAATTTGCATGCCAGAAGTGGATACCTTATCACAAAGCTTTTGCAACTCAGTCATGGCAGAAGGAGAGAGTATATCAGGCCGAATACTAAGAGCTTGTCCAAGCTTAATGTAGGCTGGACCAAGTGACGTTACAATCTCCCGGAGTTCAATTGCTCGCTTCACTTCATTCTGTAAGAAATTGATAAGAAATGTCAAATTTCTTCTTCAAAAACCTTCACACTGGCATTGAAAAGAACTGCTCGCCTTCTCTCTAAGGTTTAATTCAACCTGAAGATAAAATAATCTCATAGTTATACGCCCATGATTCCTACAAAATGCATGAAAGAAGAGGGCGGTGAAGAAGAAGAAGAAGAAGAAGAAGAAGAAGAAGCTGATTAATTTTCTTACCTCCTTCACTTTTTTCGTTATAATGTCCATTGCAATTCGCGACAAAAATCCACCTGCGACTCCGAGTAGTTGAGCAATACGAGTCGCAACAGATCCAGGGCGCTTGCCCCAGTATGCGGCAATAGTTTCAGGATCGTAGACAAGTGGCAGGCTATCTTCGCCTTGTACATTATCTACCTGCACAACGATAGCGTTAATTACATTACCACCTCTCCCGATGTCATAACACGTTCGCCAATTTCACAATTTTTCACTCATTGCTTAAAAATTCATCAAGTAATAAGGAAAAACAGTAATCTAGCTGTGTAGCATTGTAAGTTCCCCGGCAGAAATAGCCAAGGGGCACGTAAAAACGATCTGGGGCATGCCACCACAATCAACCAACATGGAGACGACAGAATTACACAGAGTGTAATATGGGGAGAAGAAATCAACCTCGACAAGACGCATCACAACGTCATCCGCTGCAAATTGCGAATCTGAAAGGTTCTGGCCACGGAGACCACGCATGAGAGATGCGACCTGCTCGTCTTCCTCCATTTGGGCCCGCATCCTCTTCATTTCCTCTGCCATCTCTCCCACTCTCTGGCACAGGAGCAAAGATTGTAGCAAACATTTATCAGCTACAGCTAGATACAATTGAATGGCATCGATGTCTCAAGGAACACTCGGTGGTAGCCGGACACTCCCAATGGCATCTAATAACGTTCTACAATACCATGCCTACATCATTTGCTTTCTTACCAACCATCTAATTTAAATCCACGGACTTCGAGTCTTTAGTGCTGATAACATCGTAGCTTGGTGTCCGCATGCTATTTGACATTTAGGAAAGACTGTAGAACTAGCTTGGATTTCTTGAGTCAACTGAAGCTATGATCACAACAGAAAACACGTGTGCTAATTCTGACTAAACAATAAAACCTGTGATACGTATTTTTTCAATAACAGCAAACATCTTTTTCTACCATTCTCGTGAAAATGCTAAGCGAAAAAACTCAAAACTCGACCCCCTTGTTTTGTAATTTGATTAAAAATTATTTCTTACGCTTTTCACCCCCCAAAAACAATTCAAACCCCCTATATGAAGCCTCTCAACTCTCTACAATTCCTCACATGAAATAAAAAATAAAAAAATAATAAATAATAATAAAATAAAAACTTCTTTGCACGAGTTAATTTGTACAACAAACATGAATTGCTAGCACAAGTCCAATCACAATTTGACTTACCATCGACCGCCCTTTCATCACGGGATTGTTGACCACACCATTCGCGGCCCCATTGGAGCTCCCACTTCCTCCACTCACCGCTGCGCTGCGAGGCGGGTCACGCGTCACCACGGCCCGCGCCCGCCCGGAAACCTTACCGATCAATCCCGACTTCCGCCCAAACGGCCTCACGAAGCAGCTCGACGACGGACTCAAGAATTGGGACTGCGACGACCTCAACACTTGGGACACGCGATTGCCTGTCCTCACCTTCCCACAAGCCTCCAACCCAGTTCCCATCTTCGCCCTAAATGTCGCACACAGAACACCGTCACGCAGGCAATACTCTCACGAAACCCACCTCAAAAGACGCTCTCGCTAACAAAAACTCCCGCAACGAACTCCTCACAACTCTCCCGAGATGCGCTTCTTCACCTCAAAGCCTCTTCCTCGCGTGAGCTACAGCCCCAATTCCTACAACACTACTCCCACACATCCTTCCTCAAATCCCTTTCTCGAATCTTTCTCTCAAACCTCTATCTCAAATCTCGCTCTCTCTTTCTCTCCACAACACGTCGGGCAAGGTAAGGTTCGTCTCGAACACGCACACCATCTACTGCGACAAATTGCAACCCAATTTTTGTCCTGGGCCCCAGCCAGATTCACGAAGCCCGTGGCCCTGAATTGAATCTATTTCCGCCCTCTCGCTAGCTCGCAGCCTCTCCGCGGGGGACATGCTTGCAACGAATCGCGGCCTCAAGGGCGACCACGTAATGAGAACCGATGCCGTTGGATCTTCCAACCGGGAGATCTGAGCCTTCGATGTCTGCCGAGATGGGGAGACCTTGTATTGAAGGGAGAGGCCAGGAGTGAGCCACCAAGGGTGGAGTCCACGTCGGATTTCCACGTTGGCCTATAATGCTTACGTGGACGGGTCCTTGTGGGGGGGGGGGTTGTGGGTTTGTGGGTGATCGATCTCCACCACATAGAAATCTAGTTTCTGTGTGTTTTCTTTTTACTAATTCTGGGATATATTATTTTTATGTATAGATAGATAGATAGATAGATATATATATATATATATATATATATATAAATTTGGAAAATAAACTAGAAATATGTCTTGATATGTAATTCATTATATGTGTTGAAATTAATGTAAAATAACAAAATTGTACATGGGTAACAGGAAATATGTGTAAATCTTTTATCGGATTCATTTTCAAGGTTTTCTAATAAAATATTTGAACATGTAGTAAATGAATAAAATAATTCTCTAATGCTAATATTGCACAACAATATAAAACATTAGAAACACGTTATAGTGAAAAAAGTATATATCTAATAGTTGTTTATACAAAAGTAAGATTTTCATTGCATTGTACTTTCTATTTCTATTTTTATATTGCAAAAACGTATTGAGTAATTTTTAACTTCGTGATAACCCAATAAAGCATTTTTTAAATATCTTCATTATTATGCCACAAGTAATTTATTTAAAACACAAAGAAAAGTAAAGTAAATCCCAACAGTATTAGCAGTAAAACAGTACGTTTTGTTATCTTCATATTCTTAAAAGAGTCCTATGCATTTATGTATTTTTTTTAAAAAAATCATTGGTTTGTTACTGACTTGAAAATGGGTTATGAACCAAAATTCCTCTACAACTTCAATATTACCAAGCTTTAGCCAGAGTTTTACAAATCTTTTTCGGTACTTGTGGTAAATTTGTATAGATTTTATACATTCATTTTTTATTATTATTATTATTAATGCTTTATATACATCATAAGCTTATGAAATGAGTTTAATTTTTTCTTGAAAATTCCTCCAGATTTTAATGATAAATTATGATCATTATGTAGAAATTAATCTATATTTTCTTGTAATAAATGTCTTGTCACTTCACCATGATTTTTTTTTAATTATATTTTATATATCCAATTGCTATCATAATCATGTTTTCGGTATCATAAAAAATATGTTTAGCATAATGAATATATTTATAATATACAGTGCTATTTTAAAAAAAAACATTTACTTGCTTCAAATTTACCTACCATTTGCTTTTAATATTTTTAAATATTTATTTTCACTTACATAAATAAAAAATCAGGTAAATTTTTATTTTGTCTGACATGACAGCAAACCCCAACGTGGACTTTTAAACAAGTTGTACAACTAAAATCTTATTAAATACTTTGTATCTTTAATGAATATATATACAAGTTATTGTATCAATAATTTGAGTAATCTCTCGTATTCAAATAATAAAGACAACTAGTTATGAATGTCATACTTTTTCATTCTTTATATACCAGCAATATTTGCATGCTGACAACATATTGCATTATTATATACAAGCACCAAAACAACAAGAAGTTTTTATTCCTTTGCTTCAATAATGTTGAAATTTCTCAAATAATGATAATAATAATTAAACATAAAAGGAAAACACAAACTGTATATGTAAATAAAGGAATAGAGTTCAGATGAGCATAAAAATATTGAAGAAGAGGATAAAGATCAAAAAATCATTTAAAATTTTCGTCTCTAACAAAAAAAATTAATGTGGTTCCTTCAGCAATTTCTTCAAGCTTCTACTGTCTCTAAAGGCGGGCGCTTTTAAATAATGTTTTTTTCTGTATTAAGCAAAAGTCCTACATAACGCTTTTATATCATGTTTATTAAAGTAGGCTTTTGATTGTGAAAATCCTATCTATAGACCAATATTCAACACATCAGTGTAATTCAAATAAAAAGTTTGATTAACTTAAGGTAACTTAATTATTTATTTTTTATAGATTATAATTTAAAATAATTATATTTAATTTTAATTATTATAAAGAAATGAATAGCTGTAAATATTGATAATAGACATTAACAAAAATTCAAAGCATTTACAATAACATTCAATTAAGATATCTTAATAAGTATGAATTTACATGTGTAAACTTCAACAATTTTTCTGTCAATCTGATTAGTTTAATTTTTTTCTTAAATGTTTAAAATTATATTTTAAAACATAAAAAAAAACATGTATTTTCACCAAAAATGTATATTTTTATTTTTTTATTGTCTTAAATCAATAGTGTATAATATTCTTCTTGTATTGATAATACTATTTAAGTGTATATGTCTATATGAATACATATACATATACAATTGTTAATATTTCTGATTGCATTTTCTATGACAAAAAAAATTAGTTGATTAAAAAGATTATTGTGAAGGTCACATAAGGAAGGAATCAAACTTTAAAAAATTAAAAATAAAATTAAAAAATGGATATCATGATATATGTCTTCTTGATTTCAGCATTGATTTCAAAGGATTAAGTACTTATATCAAATATGATGTAACCATCTCTAAGAGGTGGTTATATCAAATATCCACATCTCATATCAAAACATATTTGTTTAGCAACAGTCTAAAGTCTTGCAAAATTGCTTTGAAAGATTGCAAAACAATCATGCGGTGAGTATTTTGTCCAGTGAATCGATCATGTGGTGGATGTTTTGCAAACTTTGCAGTCTAACAATTAAAAACAAGCACAGCAATTTAAAGAAGAATTCACTTTACTAATTGGGTGTTTTGTTCAGTAAATCAATCATGTTGTGGGTGTTTTGTCTAGTGAATTGATAATTATGTAGTAGGTGTTTGAGCGGGATGAACTCAGATCTTTGTTGCATTTTCTATGCAGCATTAAATCTGGTTCAACAGTGAGTGCTTGATATTACAAATCGTCTACAGCTTCAAGCTCAAGGCCATGGTGTTTGTAAGCCGTAAGATGCAAGCTTCTCTAATGTTTTCCACAACATTCTGAAAGAGAGAGGGAGGGTTGTATGGTCTGTACAAGGAACTTGATCCAGGTTGAGAGAATAAACCATATCGAAATAATGCTTTACTAAAATAACAACAACATAATTCAAGTATTAATATGTGTTAGTATAAGTATAGAAAGAGCATAGGGGGTGGGCCACTTGTGTCCATAATAAGTGGATCTTTTATCTTAATTTCTAAACCTCGTAGATCTCAATACTAATGATATTTATCAAGAGACATTGAGTAGGGATAAATGTCCCAACACCTTCCTTCACAATAAAATTGTCTATAATGAAGAAGATCAAGAATAAATGTGCAACTATCTCCGAGAGACTTAAACAAAACATCATACATATTTGAAATGGATATGATCTAGTTAGTAGTCTTAATTTTGCCAATAGTATTAACAATTATTTTTCTAGAGACATCAAGATACATTCATTATAATGTCTTTTAGTAATTAATAATAATAACTCTTGCTACCATATTCTTGACCAGTTGCATAACATACAATAGAAAAAAAAATGAGTCATCAAATATAGAAGTTGGATCTAAACTTTGTCCAAGTGATGATCTATTAAATAATATTTGTGATAATCTATAGGTTTCTTTAGACGTTGCCAACTTATTAGATAGAGACAGTATTCTATTGTTTCCTAAAAATGGTCCATATAATGTCTACTACAATAATTTAAAGCTATAAGGATTTTCTCTATATGATCCAAAAAAGAATGTATTGACCAACTCTCATAGATATGTCTTCTATTATAACATTGCAAATTTTTCAACTGAGTTACTACAAGCTAATTATTCTAAAAAAGAAAAGATTTATCAATTAAAAGATGCTTCTCTTCTAAAGAACTCAAGGTACAAGGAAACTTGTTAGTCTTCTAATTCTTCTATATAAAGAACTTGATCTAAAACATTGCATTTTAGATGTTTTTTAAATTGGAGATTTGCCAAAGAAACATATTTTTCCAAATTATAATTAGTGAGAGAGATTGAAGAAGAGATAAGAATTTTTATAGTGGAAGAAGATCTTTTTCATGAGAGCCTTGGACAATCACAAAATGTAGCAAAGTACTTGTTCAAATTACCTCTAGAGTTCACACTGCAACTAATAGTGTATTAATTACTTCAACATCCTAAGGCAAATGATGGTATATACAGATTGCTACAATTATTAAAAAAGATGCATGAAGAATGGAAACATTCAATAATTGATGCTAAATAGAATAAAAATAAGGTAGTGAGGATAAAAAGATTAGATGGCTAGGTTCTCCTATTTTTGACTCTAGAATAGAATTGGATGATAGAGGCATATTAATATGAATTAGCTTTAGAAGAAAAGATGAAATAAATATTCTAAAGAAAGCTAAAGAAAGAGGAGTAATATAGATAGTAGGTGGTATTAAACTATGTGAATGAGAACATAGATTATATAGTAGTTAATGAAATGATGTTGAGTTTAATTTATTTATTTTTGAATAGTCCTTGTCCTAAGGGCTTAATAAATATATTTTCTTATTTTAAAGAAAGAACATATTTCAATTAAACTTTGTCAATTTCTATCTTCTTACAAGTAAAGTGATGGATTATAGAAATATGCATTATTTAAAGACTGATATCAAGATTTGTGGACATCTTCATACTCCTTTTATTAACATAGTATACAATGATAGCTTTGGATATGTTGAGATAAAAATCTTAAGTTAATTTTTTAAGCCATGCAAATTTATGAAATATCATAGAAAGATCCAAGTATTTAGCTTTGGTTAAAAAAAGTACAATAGTTGCTTGTTTTTTAGACATTGAAGTGTTTAAACTTTGGCCAATCAACAATAAAATCCATTGTTGA